ATTAGTGGTATTGGTTTGTAATAATACTATAAGTATTGGTATCCCGCAGTATTGATATCCAACAGAACCGTTTATCTTTGGTAAATCATCGTATATTGTTATACTGACAAAAATCCAATGCGAAATTACTATAAATGTACAAAACCTCATTTGACATTTTAAGCAAATTGTGTCTAGTAGCATTTAACATATCACAAAAACATAGTGATACATTAGTGAATTACTTGGTAATTGCATAAATGCACAATACTTTGTATACTGCATACTTGGCATTACATTTATGTGTGTGAAATATTTTATTAAGAACTTTTAATAAAGCCTAGTATTTCCTTTTGCGTAACGAATAAATGAAACAGGTTTTGCTATATTTTACACAGTTTATATAAAAAGGAAAAGAAAGGGAGAATCAAGTTCTATTTCATATTTCATTTCAGATTTACACTGCCATCAGTTGTTTAATGATACAACATTAATTTAAGATTATTCTAATTAATACATGTGAAGGAACAGCATAACTGAAGAAATATTGATTATTGTGACAGTATAAACAAGTGAATCGTTATTTTTTTATTATTTGAGTGATATCTGGGAAAGGGTTGGTTTGGAAGGGATGCCTCTTTCCTCAACTGGAGTATCTCTGATGATAAAAATTTGTTGTGTCTTATTTTCCAAGCCAAGAATAATTATTCCAACAGCTAATTGGCCATCAATGAGGTATTTTTTCTTGTTCAATTTAAATATCTCCCTATTCCTGTACGTAGGGCTTGAAGGATTATATTTTAATGGCAACCAGTTTTCCTTTTTGAATAGATGATGATTTTGTTACTGGTTGTTTCGGTTCAATAAGTTTTGTGTTTGAAAGGAGGGTGCATGCCGCTTCACCACAGTGACTTGGATTTCCTGTTAAGTAACCATCAGTAAATTCTTCAGCTGCTTTGCATCTACATCAGATAGAAATGATGAGATAAGTTGCTTTGTTCAAGAGTCCTGTATTTGGGCGATCCTAGATCGTTCCAATAATCTTACCTGGTTCTAGATGGTTGCAGGTATTATTAAAGGTATCGAAACTTTGGTTCAATATACTGTTTTGTGTAGTGATATTATTAATCATATTTGTAAACAATATCAACAAGGAAAGGTGGCGTTCGATGAACGCAACCAAAATGGAAATTGGATTTTTTTCTTTGAATTTTCCATTTATATCTCGGTAGTTGATTAAAGTTCTGCATCATATTTTTTGCCATTATTTTTCCGTATTCACAAATGCTCAATTTATCCCGCCTCAAATCAAGTGAAAGAACTCCAGCCAATACCTCAACCGCAACCATACTGGTTGTGTTGTGTAACCAAAGACAGTTAAATAAGAATTTTCTTTGTATTGTGTCCAAAGGCTGACGCCATACAGGGACTGCATACTCCAGTTGAGGTTAAACTTAGCTTATTAAATATTTTCCTTAAGCTTACCTCAATTTGATCAAAGTCGGTGCTTTTTGTATATTTTATCTACTGTACTGTACTGGTTGGAGAGATAACTTTGACACAAAATCACTATTTTTAAATAACTTTTTTTGCGTATATTTAATTTTTACCCGCCTAAACAAAGTTCGGTTCAAACATTTATAATCATAGGCAAATTTCCTTTATTGAAATGGAAACTGGTACTCCCTAATGAATAAGGTATCCGAAATATGATCTTTTTAAACCTGTACAGTAGATAAAGTCGACACATTAATTTTATTCAAAGTAAAATCTAGCTTGAAAATTAGAATGAATCACTCGTTTTCACATTTTACATGCTTTATCTGTGCCTAATTGATAATTTAACATCTTTTTAATGAAATTTGTCCATGTCAGTAGCCTGTGTTCAAGACAATTCTAACTACCGTTTGGGAGTTAAGTAAAAAGAGTGTTTTGTGGCCGTTTTTGTAACAAAAAAATTGTTGTCAACATAAACACATTTAAAAGTTTACCAAATTTAAAAACTCATCACAGTCTGTCCTTCTCCTTTATTACTCCGGTACTATGTGACCATGACAAAAAGATAAACAAAAAAATTAAACCAAGTGTCGGGGTTATCTCAAACTCCCCGCAGCGGTTACTTCCCCTGATCAGTACAGAAACTAAAAGTAAATAAAGTTAAAGTAGCAAAGCTGTGAGGAGTTTGGGGTTATCTATTCGTCGGAGTTATCTCTCCAACCAGTAATTATATGTAATTACTCCGGTCTATAATTTTTGTAGATTTTAATATATCATTACATAGACATTCAATTGCACTGAAATTTATATTACTTTTCTTGTGTACTTGCGTGTTTTGAATCTTTCTTTGTGGTATTTACGGATACTTTTCTGTACATATGTTGAATTAAATCCATGTCAATCAAGCGTTTGATTATTAACGTAGAGTGTGCGCGAATATATTTTTGGCGAAACTTTTTGTTGAGTATTAAAAATGTCGGAAAGGAAAGTCTTAAACGTAATATTTTTCTTTCAAACTTTTGCCTTGAAGTTTATATGGTATATTTTTCATCGTCGTAGGTATTCAAACCTACTTAAATAAAAAAATTGGAGGAATTTATTTATTATGATTCTCCCCACTCGCGATTCGCCCCATAATGATTTCGGACCAATTTAACGTCGATTACCTCCAAATTAATGTCAACTTGAACCTCCTTCATATTAAATCACTCATTCAAGTCATATTTCTCTCTTCGGTTAATGTTAAACCCCTCACAGGAATGTATACAACTTTTATGAGAACTAGCTTGATTTTAAAAAGGCTAGAACAAATTTTCTAGGGCAAGAAGTTCCCAATTGGCATTTAAAATTGTTTAGTACAACTACAAGCCTGACTTGTCAATTTTAATCCTAACTTGTGTGATCAGTGATGTTATAATAAGCATGATAAATTACATACATTAGATAAGTGTAAGTCATACAAAGAGTTTGTTATGTGCAATTATTTTTTCAAGATTGTTTATTAAAAAGTTCAAACAGAAAAGAGGTCAACATTTATGATTTATTATTATAAATTTATATATAAAGTGATTGAGTTGTTACAAGAATTAGAGTTATGATTTCCTATTTTTTTTAAATTATGGTTTTATATTTTTAGAAATATTACCCAGCTGATTATGATCCATCAAAGATTCCAAAGGGCAAGAGAAACAGAAATGCTACCTTTAACATTCGTATAATGGCTCCTTTCAATATGAGGTAATTTTATTTTTTACTAATATGAAATTAGGTGCTACCTATGCAGTGTCTATTCTAGGACGCGCGATTGCGCGATTCACGCTAGTATTTAACAGATCGCGCACAATTCAAAATCATGTGCGTGAAAATCGCGCATCTATAAAAAAAGTTAATAAAACCGTAAAACTTCCATCCCGCATTATATTTGGTTGTTTTGTTTACATTTACACCGAAAACCGAAGGGAGGTAACTGTAAGCTAATTATAATAATTTAGTACCGTATGGTACTGGTTACGTGAGTTGACGGAAATTAACGGAATGTTCCCTATCGACCGGAACTAGTGTGCTAGGTCTGACAGTTGGGTGCCATTTTAGTGTAGTAAATAATCAAGAAAAATGAGGCAATTCCTAGCTAATTGGCTACGATCTAGACGTGAAAGATAGTTCGATTATTTGTATTGCCAATCCCTTTATAATCAATCGCGGCAGTTCTGTAATAATTTGTTTTCGTTTAAAAATTCAGGGGGGACAACTTCTGCTGCCTTAAATAAATATTATCGTTTTAATTATTTCATCGGTTGAACGCCTCAGTGTAAACTTAATGCAGACGATTTAACATTGGCAGTTTATATTGGCACCCTTTGATTTTGAAAATCGCCCCCTTTTTTGAAATAGAGGGGGGAAAATCACCCCTATTTTTCAATTCCTAGAATAGACACTGCCTATGGCGCGGAAAGCTCTTATGAATTATGATTTTAGCATAACGTATTTAGTGTACATGTAAACCTGATCTTTTTTGAATAAACAAAACGAATAAATTGGTGGTGTTCAACCTATCATCGGAACGCTCGGACTATTCCGAAAAACTCCGAACCTCTGTGCATGTGTCAGCGTTTGGAAAATCCTGTCCGCCATTTTTGTTAATCTCTAATCACAGTTGTTGTTTTTACGTTATTTTTAATGTGCTAATTTATCAAAAAGAATATGTTTGAATAACTTTTTATATTTATAATCGTTACTATAATTCTTTTCAATGAAATGCAGGTTTATTTTCTGATTTTGTACATCATTCTTTCACCGGAAGTGTTACTTAGCATGCGTCTGCAATAGTCTGAATTATGTAGACGCTCATTAAAAGGGCTCAAAAGGATTTCAAAATGGCGGCGCCCGGTTAACTAAGAATTTTTTCACAGCTCATTAGGTATAGGCTATATATTTTTTTGAAATTTTCATTTAGTTTGAATTTGATTTCCTTTTGAACTGATACGCGTCATACATGTTATCTAAGAGCGCTACAGCCCTCGCGGGGCCTTTGGCCCCGCTCGGACTTTCCGCGTATTATATATCTAGCCAGGGTCTTGAAATCTTGATGTTAGGGATTTTAGAAGAATAAATTTACATTTTGTAGAGTATATGATCTGTGTTCATGTTATATCACTATTTTGTGAAGTCTACTTGATTATCATATATAACTCTAAAATGGTGTCAGAAGAAATCTAATAGAGATTTTAAAAGGTTAGATTGGATTACTGTTGGAACAATATAAGGAAACTTAAAAATAAAGATTGCCTTCTATTTTAAAATCTAAGAAAAATCGGAGCCAGAACATTTTTAAGAGTGTATGACAAAAACTAAATCTGATTTTTGCATTCTATAAATTGCTCTGCCACATTCAAAGAGAAGACTGCATTACGCAACTGCCTATTAATGCAATAGACTGTTCAAAACTTGAATGATACGGACTACATGATTTGTGACCGCCTAGTGGTTGAGTTGCAAATCCAGACAATTAAGAAAAAGACTTATAAAAGAGGGAGCTACATTTATTATGGATAAGGTAATAGCCAATACAGATAGCACAAAACATGGATTATGCAAAACAGCAAATAATGGCCATGGGGCACATTGATGTGGTAGATGTCCATCTCTTTTGGAACAAACCAAAACAGGAGAACTGACTTAAAAAAGAAAAACAAATCAAGTGTTTCAAAATTAGAGACATTACATATAAAATATCCAAACTGCCCGGGAAAAGGGAAAAAATGTAACAATTGCTGGAAACTCGCTAAAGGTTACAAGTGTATTAAACTGATAAATCGTCATAACTGACTGCATTTAAAAGCCCATTTGGACGATATCTGTACTTGCATTTACCTATGGGAATTTTCAATTCATTTTTTTCAAGAATAATTGATGAATTTTTCAAGAATTGACTGGTGTCACATCCATAATAGATGACATTTAACTGATACACAAAACAAGAGCATAATGACAAATCTTTCAAAGGTGCTGTAATGGGCAAAAGTAAATGGTATGAAATTAAATACAGACAAATGCATAATAGGTGCAAACACAGTAAAATACTTTGGTCATATACTGAACTCTGACGGAATGAAACCTAACCCTGACAAAGTTTCAGCTATTACAGGCATGAAACCTGCACAAAACAGAGCTGAGTTGGAAACTCTGTAAGCCATAATTACATATCTGGCAAAGTAAAGTTCCTGTCAGAAATACTGTATTCCTAGAAATGTTTGCGGATACAATATTTCGCGGTTTTACGTCGGCATTTTCGCTGAGTTAATTTTTGAGGATTTGTAGTAACCGTGAATTCTGCAAATATTAAGTTGATACGGCCTAAATAACAGTTTTTGGAGGCTACGTTTTTGACCTTGCCTGTTGGGTACTTTTATTCTTTTACTTATTTTACAACTAAAGCGCTACATTACTCGATACCTTTTCACTTTATACTAGTCGAACACGGACGGTTATTCTGTTATTTCAGTGCCTTTTTCACTATGTGATTAAGTAAGATTTAGTCAGCCCCGTTAGCTGTTATTAGTCCCCTACTGGTTTAACCAGAGGGGACTTTAGGTTTACCGGCCGTCTGTCAGTCCGGGCTATTTAAGAGAAGTAGGGGGCCATCTGTCTGTAAACAGAACAAAAGAGAACAATAGAGTTCATTCTGTAACAATAGAATAAGAGGCCATGGCCCTCTATTAAACAAAAGAAAATGACAAAAGAAATGGCCCCTTAGTCCATTTAAGTGGCACATCCGCACTCACAGGACAGTATTTATGTGGCTAGAGGGACAGTAGGTAACTGGTCTTTCTCTTTGATGTCATTTTATTTTGTAATGCTTTTATGTGGCTATTTTCTTTTGTGTGGCTAAAAAGAACAATAGAGTAACCACATTATTACTCTCCTGTTAGAACGTCCGTCAGTCTGTCTGTCCACAAAACTGGATCCCGCGATAACTAAAAAAGTACTGAAAATATTTTTATGAAACTTGATATATGGATAGATGGCAGTATGGAGTTTATTCACGTCTTTATCTATTCTTCCTATGTTGATAATTCTGGTTGCTATGGCAACAAATAGACTGAAAATATGGCAAATTTAACACATAAACTGGATCCAGTGATAAGTAAAAGTACTGAAAATATTTTTATGATACTTGAAATATGGGCAAATGGCAGTATGGGCATTATGCATGTCTTTTTCTTTTCTTCCTTTGTTGAAAATTCTGGTTGCTATAGCAACAAATGGACTGAAAATATGGCAAATTTAACACATAAACTAAATCCAGTGATAACGTAAAAAGTACTGAAAATATTTTTATGAAACTTGAAATATGGGTAGATGTCTGGATATTATGCACATTTTATTCTTTACTTCCTATGTTGAAAATTCTGGTTGCTATGGCAACAAATACACTGATTTCAAGATTTCTTATTCCAGTTTTTACGCTTTTTATATGCCCGTTTGAAAAACGGGACGTATTATGGGAATGCCCCTGTCGGGTGGGCGGGCTTTCGGCGTCCAATTTTGTCCAGAGCATATCTCCTACATGTATGGAGGGATTTTAATGAAACTTCATAGAAATGTTCACCACTATGAGGAGCAGTGTCGCGCACATGAACCAGGTCTCTAGGTCAAAGGTGAAGGTCACACTTAGAGCTCATTGAAAAATACTTGTCCGGAGCAAAACTTCCACATGTATAGAGGGATTTCAATATTACTTGGCACAAATGTTCACCATTGTGAGGCGGAGTGTCGCGCGCAAGATTCAGGTCATTGCCGCCAAGGTCAAGGTCACACATAGAGGTCAAAGTTCAGATAAAAATATGAAGATGTGTATATGGACCATTTAGTCATCATTTATTGAGGGATTGTAACACAAATGGTCATTATCAAGACTATGGCTGTGATACATATAATTTAGGTCAATATATACAAGGTCAAGGTCACTAAAGATGATGAAATATCCAGATTTTGTCTGGAGCATATCTCCTACACGCATGGAGGGATTTTAATGAAATTTCATAGAAATGTTCACCATTATGAGAAGCCATGCCACGCACATAAACTAGGTCTCTAGGTCAAAGGTCAAGGTCACACTTAGAGCTCATTGAAAAACGCTTGTCCGGAGCAAAACTTCCACATGCATAGAGGGATTTCAATATAACTTGGCACAAATGTTCACCATTGTGAGGCGGAGTGTCGCGCACAAAATTCAGGTCCCTGCAGCCAAGGTCAAGGTCACACATAGAGGTCAAAGTTTAGATAAAAATATGAAGATGTGTATAGGGACGATTTAATCATCATTTATTGAGGGATTGTAACACAAATGGTCATTATCATGACTACGGCTGTGGCACATGTACTTTAGGTCAATATATGCAAGGTCAAGGCAGAGCTCCAGATAATTTTTTTGGCCAAGGGGTTTTTACCCCTCAAAATTTAGAGTGAGGGGTAAAATGCAAATTCTGAAAAACTTAAGGGGTAAAATCTGTCAAAAAAGCATTTTGCATTTTTTATAAACAAATTAAACTTATTGTTTTGTTTGTTTGTTTATTTTCTTTTTTTTAGAAAAACCTGTACAAATTAAATACTGATTAAATGTGAAACAATACAAAACATGCCATGTAAAGTCAGACTTCCAGAGTATACTGGAACTCAAGTTTAGGATACACAGCAAAATTATCAGGGCTTCCATTTTCAAAATTTGGACGTCAAAG